TGCCTCTTTCAGAAAGAGGCAGCAAGGCGGGGAAAGAGCAGGAGGTACTTCAAAGCAGCAGTGCCATCTGGAGCCTGGCGCCAGACCTGGCTCAATGCAGCGCTGCACCGCCAGCTGGGGTGTCCCCAGGCTGCACATGGCGTTTCAAAGCAACAGCGTCGCGTGGAGCCTAGAGATGTAATAGTGTAGTTGATTAACCAATAAGCAAAAGCTTATAGGTTAATGCTATAGTCTACACATTTCCCTCCCCCCACCCTTACCAATACATTTTTTGCAGGCTGGCCAGCAGCCCGGCTCAGTTCTGGCTCCTGCTGGGTCTAGGAGCTTAAATTCACCCTCCCCTTTAAACAGAGGCTGCTGCCTCCCCATGCTGCTGCCTCTTTATCAGTGGCAGCAGCACTGGGCAACAGGCAGCAGGTCCAGAAGGGGAGCCGGTTTTTAAACCGGCTCCCCTCATGGACCTGCTCTTGCCTGGCACCCTGCACTGCTGCCTCTGATACAGTGGCTGCTGGCCCCACCCCTGGGGACTATAGAATAGTCGACTAACCAATAAAAAATTCATGAGGTTACTCAACTATTAAATTAACTGATATTTAACATCCCTAGTGGAGCCTGGGATGTGCAAGGGACTCCCCTGCTGATCCCCCGCTCCATGAGGCACTGCTTATTTGAAATTCTGTGGGAGCCCAGCATCAGGCTGCATGCGGGGTTTCAAAGCAGCAGTGCCACGTGGAGCCTGGAGGCAGCTGGGGACTCTCTTGCTGATCCCGGGTTCCATGTGATACTGCCACTTTGAAACACCATGGGGAGCCCAGCGTTAGGCTGCACACAGCATTTCAAAGCGGCAACGCCGCATGAAGCCCAAGATCAGAGGGGGTGTCCTCAGCTGATCCTTAGCTCCATGTGGTGCTTTCACCTTTGAAGTGTAGAAACAGTGTAGGGCTGTTACTACACTTCAGAGGTGGAGGCGCCCTATCGACTAATCCAGTAGATGATGCACAATGCATCGACTATTCGATTAGTTTATTACTTGATATTTAACATCCCTAATTTTAATAGGGAAAATATAGAAAAAACTTCTTGCTTTATTTGTCTCTAAATATTCTGGGCTAATCCTTGTTAGCTGAGTGCCTCACACGGCCAAATTCTGGATACCATAATGGGCCTGGAAATTGATGGGCACCTCAAAAGAGTGTTCTGAAAGTGATTTTTATCTAGGTAATATAGTTATTTAAAAGCTAACTCTTAAGGCAAGAAGAATAACTTAACTATTTTTATTTGTAGATATTTATTGATAGAGATCCAGCGGCATTTGCACCCATCTTAAATTTTCTTCGTACAAAAGAGCTAGACTTACGGTAAGAAGTTCTAATTCTTCTAAAAATCCTTCTAAGTATAGTTCACATGGGTAGGAATTTTAAAATCCTCTGAGAGGAGTTTTCTGATTCAACTGATCAATTGGATGTTCTGTCATGTGACTGGGATTTGACTGATACTTTGTAAGTCCTTTACTAGTACAGTCTAATCTGTAGACTCAGGTCCTATTTCCTTAGCTTAATGTTTCATGCAAGTGACGGAATAAAAGTATAAAATAAAATTATGTATTTTTAAGCCATTTTAGTACAATACATTTTAATCGGATTTTTTGTTGAAGTAATCCGTACCCAGAAAGATACTGTATCTCTAGCTACAGACTGAGTCCAACTCTGGAGTGGAAATACTGTGTTAAGTTACTAAAAAGGTGCTTCGGGAAGTTTAGGGGTTTGATATTTTTTGTGGAAATTCATATTTCTAGTTTTTGCTTTACAACCCTCCAAGATATAATATCTAGCTTTGGAAAAAAATATTTGATTTTTTTTTTTTTAAAGGAAAAAATTGTATTTTCAAGGCATTGCTTTCCTTTCTTTGTTTTTTTTTCCCCCCAGGGGAGTGAGTATTAATGTTCTCAGGCATGAAGCTGAATTTTATGGAATCACTCCTTTAGGTAACTATTTGCATTAAAGTTATGTGGTTCCTAATTGTGGCACTTCCATAATAATAATTTTGTGATTCTAACATTTGGAACAATTATGAGCTGAACTTATTTGTGCTGAAGTTGACAGTATTCAAGCAGATATTTTCAAATCTTATCAACCTCTTAGAAAATAAAACTTCATTGAAGTTCTTTGCTTTTGATGTTAATATATGTATCTTGTTTAGTAAGAAGACTACTCTTATGTGAAGAGCTGGAACGCTCATCATGTGGCAGTGTTCTTTTTCATGGCTACCTGCCACCACCAGGTACTACTTGTGTTCGCTTACTGTGAATTTCATATACCACTTCCAATCCATTGCCTTATATAAATCTGAACTATATAAGTCTGTCAGCTTGGAGTCGTCATTTTATCTTCCAGTCTGGATGAACAATTACTATTGATGATAGAGGCTGTAATTTTAAGGTTGTGTCTACACTTAGAGCAGCCTTTTCCATATATGCACTGCTGTAGCATGGGTATAAATAGCAGTGTAGATAGTGATTGTACTGCTTAAGCATATGGAGTAGACACATCTGGACTTTAGGGTATATACCTATACTGCCCTCTATATGCTTAAGCAATGCCCCTCCTATTTACACTGCTGTTTTTGTTTATATCGTCTCACTGCAATCTTTTCCCCATGAGTGATGGGTGAACAAACTATTGGAGGAGGCTAGCCTCCAACATGCCCCCTCTGCCTGAGGACCCATCCCTTTCTTCTTCGAGTGATGCTCATGTCCATTCGAATCAGGTGTGTGCACCGTGTCTCCGGAGCATTTTCCCTAGCGGTACCCGTAGTGCCTGCAAGGATGCCCTCTGGAGTGGCGCCACTATGGCGGAGCATAAGTATCCCTGCCGGTGCTCCCCCACCTCAGTTCTTTCTTACTGCTCATGATGGTCATTGTAGCGTTATAAATAGTTTTAATTAGTTAGCGAGTTCTTTGTTTTCCTTCCCCCTTCCCCCCCCCCCCCCCCCTGTAAGGCTTTAAGGCTTGCGCAGTATGCGCTAAGTTCGTGCCTAAGGGAGACCCTCACGATAGCTGCTTAAAGTGTTTGAGTAAGGGCCATTTAGCAGATGCCAGTAAGATCTGCAAGTCGTTCAAGCTGCGCACGAAGAGGGAGCAAGAATCGTGTTTGAAGCTTCTCCTCATGGAGGCGGCTCTACAACCAGCACCGACTGGCCACTCCATGGTGCGCAGTGCGCCGGTGTCGACGCGCAACACCCCATCCCGTGCGTGGACTTTGGTACCGAGGGCTCGGCACCGTTCTCATTCCCCAGCGACGAAGAAACTAAAGACTTCGTGGGGTAGGTCTCTGAGCCAGAAGTCCAGGTCAGGCCTACACCATTGCTTCGAGTCGCCGGTGCAGACATCACCAAGTGCTGCTGTGCGGCGGAAGCGAGCAGGCCGACCATCCAGTCCGGGTCAGCTACCCTCGCATCATCCCTCGATGCCGGACACATTTGAGGTGGCGCAGGACTTGATCAGCCTCAATACCTCCCCTCCGTCGTCTGTTGAGGCGGAGTGGCCGAGGTCTTCTATGCCGGGAGCCATGTTGGCACCGGTTTCTCCTCCACACTGGTTGGATCGGTTGGCACCAGTCACGTATGCTGTGGGACCAGTACCGCTTACCTCTGTCATTGCCAGTCTCAGCACAGGCTGCCAGGCCTCACCCGGCGCTTGATTGGACTTGACCTCCCTCGGTGCTGGGACCTTTCCCGGAACTGGTCTTAGCTGCGTACCTCTGTCATTGCCAGTCTCAGCACAGGCTGCCAGGCCTCACCCGGCGCTTGATTGGACTTGACCTCCCTCGGTGCTGGGACCTTTCCCGGAACTGGTCTTAGCTGCGCCAGTGCCGTATTACTCAGGCCTTGTGGCACCATCAATGACACCGTCAGAAGGACTGGCACCGGGCCTCTTGCCCGGGGTGCCGCTGCAGTCATTGGCACCAGCCTCTTCGGCACCACTGCAAGTTTTGGCACCGCTGCAAGTACCGGCATGGCCATTGCTGGTGCCGCAGATCCCTTCTAGGGCGGCCACCACGGCTCTGGCCCCTTCAGTCCTACCCACCATGGCGCCCATGGCGGCACCGATAGGGGCGCCAGCTCTGGGGCAGTTGGACTCTGCAGTTCCGTGCTTGCAACCGACACCGACCTCCGCACCGTAGTCCATGTGCACCGTGTCGGCGCCACAGTCAGGCCCGAAGCCTGTCTTTCTGGCTCCAGCACCTGTACGACCTCACCGCATGCATGCGGGCAAGCTAGAATCCATGGCCAGGTTCACCCCCCCCTTCCCCCCGGATGGTGACGGGGTACTCGTCATCGATGCCACCCTGGCCAGAGTCTGATTACTCTTCAGATTCGGATGTGGGCTCTTTCAGATCAGGATCCTCGAGGGCTTTGTCACAGCATAGATCCTGTTCCCGGCACCAGCGTGATCATTCGCACGTGTAACAGACAAGAGGTGCTGTTATGTCCTGCAGTTGGGGCACGAGCACCTATATTCCCAGCCTGTCCCGGGGTCCTTGGTTGTCCAGGCCGCGGCCCAGAAGGAGAGGCTTCCGCAATCAGGGCCGTCCCTGTAGGCTAGGGAACCCAAACACCTCTGTTTAATGGGGTGTAAGGTATATGCCACTGGTGGGGTGCAACTCCGCATTGCTAACCAGCAGGCAATGCTGAGTCGATACTCCTATAACACATAGCAGGTGATGGATAAGTTCAAAGATAAACTCCCCGCCAAGGCGCGTCAAGAGTTTGGGGCTATGACCACAGAACTATCACCCACACGGCTCTTCAGGCTTCCCTGGATGCTGTTGACTCTGCAGCCCGTACCATGGCGTCGGGTGTAGTTATGCGTCGTGGTGCCTAGCTGCAGGTGTCTGGAATACCTCCTGATGTCCAGACTACTATTCAGGACCTGTCCTTTGATGGCAAAGTGTTGTTCTCCGAGCATGCTGACTCAAGGCTCCATACGCTCAAGATCCACTCTCTGGTCCTTGGGAGTCCACACGCCGGCTCCTCAGTGACGTCAGCTTCCCTACAGACAACAGGGCAGAATGCAGTCCCAGGTCCTCCATGGGGATTACTGGAGATGCTGTCCTCACGCTTCCAGTGGGGACAGGGGCGACTGCGGCCCCGTCTGCATCCAGAGCTCCTTGTCGCCGCCCGAGAGGAGACAACCCCCGTGGGGTTGGTCAGGACCCCCCTCAACAGTCCAAGCACCCGTTTTGATGGTCCTCTAGAGCGTTGCGCACCAGTTTCCCCCAGCCCCCTGTTTGGGGCCAGGTTATCCCACTTTGCCCGTGCCTGGGCAGAAATCACCACCGGCGCCTGGGTTCTGAGAATAGTCAGGGATGGCTATACTATCCCTTTCCTGGGCTCGCTCCCTTCCAACCTGCCTGCCCCATCCCTTTTCAGGGACACCTCTCACGAAGGCATTCTCCGCCAGGAGGTGTTAGCGCTTCTCCAAAAGGGAGCGGTAGAGAGGGTCCCTTCACACTTAAGGGGCAAGGAGTTTTATTCCTGGTATTTTATTGTTCCAAAACTCAAGGGTGGGGTTTGTTCCATTCTAGACCTCAAGGACCTCAACAAGATGGTGGTGAAATCCAAGTTCAGAATGGTAACCCTGGCCTCTGTTATCCCGGTATTACAGTTAGGAGACTGGTACGCAACTCTCACTCTCAAGGACGCTTACTTCCATGTGGCAGTAAGACCCAGCCAGAGGAGGTTTCTCCAAGACCCACAGGAGGTTTCTCCGCTTTTTAGTGTCCCGCTGTCACTTCCAGTTTACGGTGCTCTCCTTTGGACTTCCAACAGCACCCAGGGTCTTCACAAAATGCATGTTGGTCGTAGCAGCATTCCTCCGCAAAAAGAGGGTACACGTCTTTCCGTACCTAGACGACTGGCTAATTTGTGGTCGATCCTACGAACAAGTGGTGGCTCATGTTTCCCTTATAAGGACTCTCTTCTTAAGACTAGGTCTCATGCTGAACGAGGAAAAGTCATCGTTGACTCCCTCTCAGTGCCTCGATTTGTGGAGGCTCTTGGACGCCAGGGTGGCGAGAGCACTCCTCCCCAGGAACAGATTTCTGGCCATAGTGGAGCTGGTCTCGGAGTTAACCCGGTTCCCCATTACGACCGCCCGAGTCTGCTTGAGACTGATGGGACACGTGGCAGCATGCACTTATGCGGTACGCCATGCTCGAATGAGGCTCAGATCGCTGCAGGACTGGTTAGCGAAGGTGTTCGACCAGTCCAGGGGTCTCTGGGACATGGTTCTCACGGTGCTTCCAGCGGTAATTGCCTTCTTACAGTGGTGGACTCAGGAGGCTCTGGTGAGCAGCGGGCTTCCGTTTACTGTACTTCACCCTTCCGGTGACACTGCTCAGACGTTTCATTGTGTTGTCCAGGCGCACCAGGATGGAGCAGCAGGACAGCTGTGTCAGGAAAGTCTCGCAAGCTCTCCTGACTGCCTTGAGCTCCCAGATATTTATATATAGGGCCCACTCTGCAGGGGTATGTCTACACTACCTCCCTAGTTCGAACTAGGGGGGGTAATGTAGTCATACGGAGTTGCAAATGAAGCCCAGGATTTGAATTTCCCGGGCTTCATTTGCATGAACCCGGCCGGCGCCATTTTTAAATGCCGGCTAGTTCGGACTGCGTGCCGCGTGTAGCCGCGCGGCACGCAGTCCGAACTAGCCGGCATTTAAAAATGGCGCCGGCCGGGTTCATGCAAATGAAGCCCGGGAAATTCAAATCCTGGGCTTCATTTGCAACTCCGTATGACTACATTACCCCCCCTAGTTCGAACTAGGGAGGTAGTGTAGACATACCCCTGCAGAGTGGGCCCTATATATAAATATCTGGGAGCTCAAGGCAGTCAGGAGAGCTTGCGAGACTTTCCTGACACAGCTGTCCTGCTGCTCCATCCTGGTGCGCCTGGACAACACAATGACTGTGTTCTATATCAGCAGGCGTGGGGAGCCCGGTCGCCTCCCTCCCCTAGTTCGAACTAGGGAGGTAGTGTAGACATACCCCTGCAGAGTGGGCCCTATATATAAATATCTGGGAGCTCAAGGCAGTCAGGAGAGCTTGCGAGACTTTCCTGACACAGCTGTCCTGCTGCTCCATCCTGGTGCGCCTGGACAACACAATGACTGTGTTCTATATCAGCAGGCGTGGGGAGCCCGGTCGCCTCCCTTCTGTTGCGAGGCTTTGTGGCTGTGTTACAATAAATTTTTGCAGGCAGAATACCTGCTGGGGTG